TAGCTGGTCTATCTTCACCAGTCGATTTTCACAATGGCGGTCAGACAGACAAAACAAGCCGTAAGGAAACAGGAAATCCACCAAAACAGTGGGAAAAAAAAATGTTTTTTTAACTACATGTGAAAAAGCAAAGGTCAATGGAATCCATTTTAATTTATAGTCAAAAAGTCCAGATGAATTTAACTGCAGTGAATTCTATCTAAGTGGACGTTAGAATAAATTCAAAGCAGAGTCTAAGGAAATAAGTGAAATGAAATGAAGAAATCAAACATGTAAAGCAATGATTTTCTAAATGCATGTTATCCTCTGGGGAATTCATCCAGTCCGCCTCCACCTGCATCATCTCTGCAGGCACACAGCGGCTACACCAACGGGGCTTCATCACGCTGCAGTGAGGATGCAGAGACCGTTCCTCTGAGAACAACGGATGGTGGGATGGAAACCAGGTCAGAGGTCAGAGGCCTCTCATCACTGAACCCAGAACAACCAGGAGCTCTGAACATAGTGCAGAGTTCCTCACGTGGAACAAAGTACCAAACACTGACTGAATACTTTCCTCATTAGTGAGCCTTTCTATAAACCTCATGATGTGGAATAGTGCGACTAACGAGGGAAGGTCTGTTTACAGCAGCGGCTGCAGCGTGGAGCTTCTTCCTGAAGGGTAGAAATACTCTGAACCCGCCATGGGGGGATGAATGTGGTGCTGCTGACCACCTCTACAGCTGAGCTGTTGATGAGCAGTGGAGCGTGGTTAGGCCGCTTCTTCCTGAAGTCCACCATGATCTCCTTGGTCTTCTCCACCTTCAGGATCAGGCTGTTATCTCTGCTCCACCAGCTGCTCCACCTCCTCTCTGTAGTCCAGGTTGTTGTCGTCTCTGATGAGGCCCACCGCCGTGGTGTCGTCTGCAGACTTCACCATGTGATCGGTGGTGAACCTGGAAGCTGTTTGACCACCTGTGAGAACCTGCTGCGTTTCTCCAAACTTTCCTTCAGGAAGTTTCTGTCGACCGAATCAAAATCAAGCTGAATGGTTACTCTGGGAATGAAACTTTCTAAACTTTCTCTGTTTAACTGTAAACATCTGTTCTGTACTTTGACTAGGCCATTCTGTAGTGATCGTTTGTTCCTCCATGAAGGCTGGAAGCAGAGAACCTGAAGACGTCCATTTTGGTCGTCAGGACGACGGCTGCTTCTCACAGCTCTGCTGCTCATCATCTCTGCTCAGGCTCTTCATGCTGCTTCTTCTCTAATGTTCTCAGACAAACCCTGGAGGCCTGACCGAACCTTCTGACTTCATCCAGGGATTTCTGAAGGACAGCAGAGGTTTTAGATGTTCATCCTGTCAGAAACTATCATTAGTTCCTACCTGCCTCTTAGATTCAGTGAAGCTTCATTAAAAGAAGAAAATTTGATTAGATTTTTGCTTAAGGATGAAATAGTTAGATATGAGGAAGGACAAAGCGGGTCTAAGCAGCTCAGAGTTTTGCTTTCTGCATCCTGTAGGTAGAAGATACTGAGAGGAAGCCACAAACATGCAACGACTAACCAGCAGGAACCGCAGACGCCTGCAGGCTGAGCGCCTGGCAGACGTTAACATCATGTCAGCATGATGTGAGGAGATGCATGGTCTCTGCTCCACCTCTGCCCTGCTGGGTGGAGCAGAGCTCAGCCTGACCATGACTCTCAGAATAAAGTGAATCAACTTCCCAAAGTGAAGTTAAAGTTAGAGAAATCTGGCTGCAAACCAAGCTGTCTGGTTCTGATCTGGTTCTGATCCGGTTCTGATCCGGTTCCTGATCTGGTTCTGATCCACTACATGCTCTGAAGCTTCAGCTTCTCCCTGCCTGCAAAGCTCAGCAGAAAAGGTTCCTGTTCTCCTCCACATCCTGGAATTCTCTGGATCTTCCCAGGAAACATGATCCAGATGGAAAAGTTGCAGAAGAAGAAGAAGGAGCGAATATTTACCCAGAATCAGGAGCGAAGAAGAAGAGCAGCTGTTCAAAGAGCCGCTGAAGGCTCACGTCTATCAGGAAGCCTCTCAGCGCACAGCGCGGGGACGCGCGCCCTTTCCTGTGTGCGCGTGCCTGTGTGGTTGCCTAGGCAGCGGCAGCAATGAAACCGTCGGCGGATGAAGCTCCGCCCACAGGGAGAGACTGACTGATGGTCATTCCTTCAACCGGTTAGTAAGATTATAAAGTTCAAATGAAAAAGATCCGTTTGATCAAAACTGATCAAAGAGAAAAGAGGCGGTAAAAGTTGATCATTTATTATGTTTTATTCATTATCTATGTTTTTAGTTCTATTTTATCACCAATCAATCAATCAATCAATCAATCAATCAATCAAATAAAGAAATGCTGCCATAGTTTTTTTTAAAAGTTAAAAAAGTTTTATTTCCAATGAGGAAATATTCAGCATCTTTAAAACATCTAGAAAAATAGAGACTAAATTCATAGAGCTTTATTAATAGAGCAGAGATCTGGAAAAACACAATCAGCATTTACATGAGTTGGGGGGGGTGGGGCTGTTGGACCCCTCACTGTGACCTCTGACCCCTCTGCCCCTTCCTGTCATTCAGTCATTCCCAGGTTTTTCCAGAGGAAGCTGAGGATCCAGATCAGTTCACTGCAGGACAGCGCCATCCACTGGAGGAGCTGAGTAACGCTGAGCTACTGGATCTGCCACTGGGCTGAGACTGGTGAGGCTGCTGGTTCTGGAGCCGCTCACTGGTTCTGCTGCTGTGATCATCAGCCGCCATTAAAGCTGTTTATCTTCATTCATTCATCCAATCCGATTCATCCGCTCCACAGATTGCAGCCCGTCTGATGAAGGTTTGACCCCCCCGGGTGAAATCCAGGCCCCCAAAGGTCTCAGCTCTGCTGACCTTCCTGCTCACCAGGAAGCTCCTCCCAGCTGCCGTCATCCAATCAGAGGAAGGTTCTGGATGCTCCGAGCAGCGGGCCGGTCTGACCTGAAGGGGAGGAGCCAGAGGAGCCTCTGAGGTGCAGACAGGTCAGCGCCTCCCACAGCATCACCAGACTCCTCCGTGCAAAAAACCAGAGGAAGTGTTTGGGTCTGTTTTCCTGGGATCATCAGGCTGCTGCAGACCAATCTATGCCTCATCTTTCTATCCTAGAGTGAAGCAGCAGCAAAAACTACTGAAAAGGAGAAAGTTTCTCATCATGGGAGCAAACTGGGAAAGAAAATAATTTATTTACATCTCGACTCATCAAGGATGAAGCAGGAAAAAGGTTTTTAAACAGAGTTTATTAGTCAGTTAGAAAACAGCATTAATGTGGAGCAGCAGCTGGTCGATGACATCATCAGGACGCCGTCTGATGGAGGCGGTCCTCCCTCTGAGGTAGAAATAGCTCAGCTTTTTGGTTTACAGCACATCAAGACAGGGTTAGCCATAGCAACATAGATCTGCTTCAGTTAGATTGAAGGCAGCACTTCTAGAAGGCAGTCTATCTTTATCATTTAGCGTACACCGCCCCCTGTTGGCGCTCTGCAGGAAGTACGCCACCAGTCGGCAAAGCAGCAGTAGAATCAGTGAAGGCAAGTTAGTTTAGATATTCTAGGACACATAGATCTATGTTTTCTCCAGCATGCTGGGCCTCCTGCTAGAACCCCTTCATGGGGATAATCAGTCCAACACACTGAGTGCTTCTATTCCAGACAGGAAAAAGGAGCGGATCTATGTAGTTACATCTCTACGCTCTAAGCAGCCAATCAGCAGGAAGACATTCAGCTGCTTCCTGGTTTCCCATCGACAGAGACAGGAAATGGAACCTGCTGCCCTACAGTCACTCCTCCTCCTCCTCCTCCTCATCATCATCATCATCATCATCATCATCTAGACCCTCCAGAAGCAGCAGGACTGACAGACCTCCCACCGTTTAATCCTAGATATAGAACACATAGATCAGTGTTGGAAGTCAGAGTTTAGGCACCTAATGAAGACCACAGTGAAAACATCCCACCTATAAAAATAATAAAATCTCTCCTGCAGCAAATATCTGGATTAAATCAAAGTTTAATAAACTTTTAATAAACTTATTTAGATTTTTTTCTCAGATAAGGAAATGAAATCAAACTGCATAGTTATATAGAAAACAGTGGGGGGGTCTGGGGGCCCCGGTTCCACATGTTTCCACGGGGCCAAGAACTCCCGGCGCCGGCCCTGACCAGCAGCACGTTCAGGTACCGGTACCGGTCCACAGATAACAGAACCAAGCCGGACCCGGTCCTCCATGAGGCCCAGCATGGAGATCAGGGAACTAGTGAGGCACTGAGACGGTCCAGAACCAATCTGACCCGGAACCATCAGGTCCAGAACCGATCTGACCCGGAACCATCAGATCCAGAACCAATCTGAACCGGAACCATCAGATGCAGAACCAATCTGAACCGGAACCATCAG